TGTTCTGCTACATCTTTTGTTCAGTAAAAGGATTCTGCTGCTGCTTTAAAAAAAAAAAACCGCTGAAAAAGGAAAATTGCAGCAGACCTATCATTACATGCCGCTCTCTCTCCATTGATGTCACCTGAATCTTATTTTCCTGAGCTATTTTCATGGCAGACTTTTACAATCACATTTTGAACATTACGGGAATGCAGCAGAAGGCGTGTCAGAGGGTTTTAAAGCTTGGTGTCACTGCTTAAAGGTGTTGGGAAGCTTACTCAACCTCTCAGGCCCAGTCCTTTGTAATACGCAGCTGCCAGGGCCACTCGGAGGATTCACGGCACAGACTGTTCCCAGCACATAGCAGCTACTCAGTCATGTTTGTTTCTCACTCTCCCTGGCCTGCCCACGTGCACAGCGACAGCATTTCCCCGCTCCTTGACTCCCCAAGAAATAAATCAACACACTCAGATTACCCTGTCATGTATCAGTGAACCAGACCAGACAACACCCTTGAATTCTTGGGGTGCTTCTGTCCAAGGCAGGAGATAGACTGTAAATCACAGAGTAGACAAGGCAGAAAAACAAGGACCAAGAGGACTGGTCCCATGGTTGAAAACTTGCCATAAGTTGGGAGAGGACAGTTAGGACAGAGAGGAACCACGGTGACAATGATAGTTGGAAATGATCATTTTGGACAAAAACTGAGTGCTGTCCCAAAAGGAGAGAGAGAACAAAAGGGAATGCTCTGCCTCAGAGGCAGGGTGGGGTTGGGGAGGGGATGGGAGGTGGGAGGGATACTGGGATCAGTGGTGTTGGAGAATGGGCACTGGTAAAGGGATGGGTACTCGATCACTGTATAACTGAAACCCAAGCACAAAAATTTCTAAGTCTACAACTGTACCTCATGGTGTTTCACTAATAAAAATTTAAAAAAAAAACTGAGTGCTGAGAGGAGGTAAAGGAATATACATGCCTTTCAGTACCTGTATTGCAAATCATAATGCCCAAAAGGAGGAAGGGAGCAAGAGAGAGATAGAGGGACAGAGAGAGAGGAGGGAAGGAGGGAGAGAGACAGACAGACAGAGACAGAGAGGAAAAGAGAAAGAGGGAGAGAAAGAGAGAAGAGAGAGAGAGAGAGAAAGAGAGAGAGAGAGAAAGAGAGAGAGAGAGATAAAGAGGAAAAATGCCTGCCATAGAGGCAGGCTAGTAGGGGTTAGTGTTAGTGGCAGGAGAAAAACTAGGGACACTGATGGTGGGAACTGTGCACTGGTGAAGGAATGGGTGTTGGAACACTGTATGACTGAACCCCAATCATGAACAATTTTGTAACCGTGTGTCTCACAGTGGGATTGGAACAATAGCACAGTGGTAAGGCGCTTGCCTTGCACATGGCCTGCCAGACTGGCCTGAGTTCAATTCCTCTGCCCCTCTTGGAGAGCCCGGCAAGCTACTGAGAGTATCTCGCCCACATGGCAGAGCCTGGCAAGCTACCTGTGACCTATTCGATAGGCCAAACACAGTAACAACAATGATGGAGACGTTACTGGGCCCTCCTGAGCAAATTGATGAATAATGGGAGAACAGTGCTACAGTGCTACAGTATCTCACAGTGATTTTTTTTTAAGTTATACTGTAGACTCTAGGTGACACATGTGGAGCAAAGGGACCTGCAGTGTGGATAACAAGGGACCATGAAAAGGGTGGGGAGATCATTTCAGGCACTGCAGGCAGGGCGGGCCTCCCAGAGCAACTGTGACCCCCCAGCAAAGACTGGACACAAGCAAGGCAGCCACACCAGGCCGAGGGGGCTCTCGGGCCAGGGGTGTTTGGATGGTTCAAGGAGCAGTGAGAAAGCCAGGTAGCTAGAGACCATGAACAAGGAGGCTAAAGGAAGAAGTGGACGTGGCTGGGGAGACCTGAAGGGGCCTGTTACTGGCTCTTATTAGAGCTCAGACTCTCAAAATAATTAGACTCAAAGTCCTAATAGCCACTTCCTTTTTAATACTAGAGGACATCAAGGCAATTTGTGTTGATGACAACATGTGTTTGGCATGGGGGTGAATGAGCCCCAGAGGCAGGAGAGAGGGGAAGGGTCCTACTCATGGTCTTTCTCTCTTCACAGCCCATTCGCTTGGAAGTACAGAGGACTGTAGCAATTCCTACACACCCGTTCCCCTTCTCCCAGAAGGAACCCACCCCCGGCCCTCATCCCAACCCCACTTCCCCCTACCTGACCCTTCAAGGGACTCCCTCCAGATGGACACCCTGCTCTGGTTGGTCACACTTCGGTCCCCCTCTAGTGTTCTCAGGGTGCCCAGGCCTTTTGCCACAAACTCACCCAGTCCTGAGGAGGCCTGGGGGCAGCCACCTGAGTGAGCTGGGCCTTTGACTTTTTTTTTTTTTTAAATTCCCTACTCAGGAGATTAAATGGAGACTCTAAACAGCCTCTCACTGGTGGAAGGATGTGTCAGATACGAAGCTAGTGGGAGCCATGTGTGAAAAAACATCCGTGTGTGGAAGCAGCCTGTCTCCCGGGAGCAGGATGAAAGCGCCGGGGGGAGAGAGAGGCGCAGCCTCGAGGGGAGAGAGGGGAGTCGGAGGTGCAGGCGCTGGCTTCCCGGCTTTCGCCTCGGAGGCTCCGAAGCCGCAGCCTCGCCTTCCCGCCGCGCTGCGGTGGAAGCTGGCCTTGGATCCAAGCCGCTGTACCGTCCCTTTCAAGTCTGAGCGTGTTTGAATCCGGTTTCTCTCCTGTGCACCCCGGATAACCTGCTGCTGGGGCCTTTCATCTTTGAAGTTGACTCTGAGGCACCGACATGGAATTTCATTTTTTTTTTTAAACAACTCCCACCTGCCTTTGATTCAATTTCTTTTAGAAAACAGTGGCCATGAAACCTGCACTTCTACGGGCGAAGGGTGGCTCCTCTGGTCCTTGTCTCTCTTGCAGGCTCCTCCCTGAAAAGGGAGGTTTCCACGGTCACGGGCAAGACTGTGGAACAGGATGTGGGAGTCCAGCCTTAGAGATTCCCTACGTGGCCCCTGAGAGGGCTCCTGCTTCTCTTTGGCCTCACCAGGTTCTCCTCTCCTCCCCGCCCCCCCCCCCCCCACCATCCCTTTGGTTCCTGAAAGTATGACCCCCAACTCCTGAGATTCTGCAGGGCTCATTTTGGCCTGTACTGTCTGGATCCAGAGAAGCCCAAGTTGCCTCCTTGAAATGAGTGTATCTCCATGGTGCCCTGCTCAGGGATTATGTGACCCAAGGGCACTCTGGTTTGAAACAGTTTCAGCTCTGAGCGAAAGATGCCTTTTTTTTTTTTCCCCTTTAAATTTTTTGGGACATATCCAGCAGTGCTTAGTGGTTTCCTTCTGGCTCTGTGCTCAGGGAGAGCTTCAGGTGTAGCCCAGGGGGACCATGTGGGTTGCTGGGGATTGAACCCAGGTCTACAGGTCTGCTACATGCAAGGAAAGTGCCTTACCCACTGTACTATCTCTCTGGCCTCTTCCTCCCTAAGCTTCTTTTCCATGCAATCTGCTTCTCCAACCCTCCAATCTCAGAGAAAACTGCACCAATAAAAAGCACTCGTTTATGCCTCTATCCTGGGGTAGCGCAAGTTCTGGGAAGGAGCAAGACTATTCTCTGGTGGATTCTGTGTGCCAGTGTGATTTCCCAATGAGATGAGAGGCTCCTCAAAGGCAGAGTGTTTGCCCTGGGCCATCCCTGACAATGCCCTGCATGGAGGTAGGCACATGGCAGGCCCTTCCATGCAACTGTGCCCAGTCCTGACTTGACACCATTCTGGCCCATGAGGCTGACTGAGGGATCAGCGGCCAGTACAGATTAGGCCTGGCCTTGGATTCACTGTGTGGTTCCTAATACCTCACAGCCTCCTACTTCCTATAGGCACCAAGAAGTTTGGCTGGAAGAGGTGATGGAGAGACTCCTTCCTGTCCTAACCATCAGAGGCTGTAGATCCTGGGTCCTCCTTCCTCATTCCTGCTAGAATCACCTCTCCTCCTACTTCTCCTCTTGTCTCCCTCCCCAGGCTCCGCTCTGAACACCTGGTCTCTTTTGCATCCACATTCCAACACTTGAGCTCTACTTCCTGTTCATACCCTGTGAGAGTGCTGAGACCACCGTCACTTCCAGGTTTAGGGCGGGCGGCACTGTTCTCCACTTCCAGCGCCACACTGCCTTCTCCATCTCACCTTCCCAGGAGGACCTGCCTGTGCTCTCCAGGGCCTTCTCAAGACTCCACTCGAAGGTCCTTTGCACCTTGATGCTTTCCCCAAGCCTGCCCTCTCCTGGGTGGACGCTATGTGCCTTCACAGGCATGCACAGTCCTGCCCCACAGGGCTGGATTACCCATCTCCTCCAGAGGCTCCCATCAAGCACATGGTGTGGATCACCTTAATGTCCCCGCTTTGGTGTTAAGCCTGCGACGGTACACATGGCTGGTGAACAGCTTGCAGAATGGACCAATGAATGAATGAATGAATGCAATGCAATGAGCTGTGGGGCCCATGCTCCCAGGCACAGTGCCAGATCCCTGCCCCCCACACCTTTGTCTTTGTCATAGGTCCAGCTTCCCCCAGTCGGAGGGAGTCTGCTTTCCTGTCCTGGGTTCCTTGTTTGACTGGGACCTTGAGGATGGCAAGAGGAAAAAGGGATGCTGGGTTCTTTCTTCATCTCCCCAAATCCAGCCTCCTCAAGGAGGTCCAACCATCCTTGTTCATTCAAACTTTCCTCCACGTCTCCTCCCCAACCCTGCCTTTTGCCTGTCAACCCCAACCCTTTTGCCTGTCATCCTCGATGATCTCCTCAGCTGCCCACCTCCCACCTGGAGAAACAGCATCCCTGTCCATGCCTGTGACATTCTTCCACTTCCGGGCAGGTCACCAACCCCTACCTCGGACATTTCCAAGCCTCGCCCCCAAGCCCCGCCCACCCCGAACAGGCCCCGCCCACCCAGCCCCCGCCCCGCCCACCCAGCCCCCGCCCCGCCCACTGCCCTGCTCACCTGTCTCTCCCCAGATGGGCAGGTACTCGTCTTGCTGAATGTCCAGCATAATCTCCAACCCGTTGCCTGTGCCCCCCTTGACTGTGGTGAGCAGAGGTCTGCCATCCTCGCCTGAGTTAAACATGTAACACTTCCCGTATTTTGTAAACACCTGAAGGAAAGAAGAGAGAGGCACGTGGTGACTTTAGACTCCAGGGAAGACCCCAGAGACCTAACAGCAGAACAGAGTCCCGAAGCCCACCACAACCACCAGCCCACCTTGGACACGGATGAGCCTGTGCACAGCCGGCGGCCTCATATTTGCCAAATAGGCTTCTGGCAGTGAGGGGCAGGTCCTGAGCCCCTAGGGGGCTGGGTGCCTGGGCTGTGGGCTAACTTCCCTCAACTCTCCCCCAGGCAGTTCCATCCATCACCAGGTGGGACCCCTTATTTGTGCACTTCTATTCCAGAGACACCTTCCTTCTCCCTGATAAGCCTGGCCTTGGGGGTCTCCCACTGACGATGCCCGAAGCTCAGTGTACCCCAGGGGGAGCAGCTTTCTCTTCACTTTCCTGCCTGGGGATGGCTTCACTGCCTGCCGAGGAGCAGCCAGACTGCAGAGTGACTGTCCGCTCCCGTCCCCTCTTCTTCCAAACCCCCATGAAGCAGCCAGGCCTCTCAGCACTGCCCTCACATCTCATCTGCATCTGATGCTCTCTCGCCTGCCCTGCAGTAATTTAGACTAGCCCTTGCTTGTGGAGTGGGGGCTGGTGGTGGCTGCTGCTGCTTCCCAGCAGGCCTCCCTAGACCACCCCCTCCACCAGCCTGCAGCACTCCCTGCTTCCGAAACACAGAACCCCCCTCCCCCATCTTGCCAGTACCACAAGGCTCCCAACCTTGCAGGTGGGAGACCTGCCCCAGCCCCCTACATTTCTCAATACCCCAGGCTGACTCCACTCTCTCACTTCCTGTCCACAGGAAGTCCCAGGACTTGTGGACCACATCTGCACATGCGTGGAGGGGTCTGTCCCTCAGGTCAGCACAGTGCCCAGGACAGAGGAGGGAGTGCTTCAGACACAGAATACAAGAATGAGTGAGTGTGAAGTGAGTGATTAAAGCACGACCAAACAACTTTTCAGCGCCTTCATGTGTACCCTGCTGGGTCACACACTGGTGACTTCTATTAACTGCTCTGCCCTCATTCCATGATTCTAGGCAACCCTTTGCACTCCACCTAGACAAGCTCAATTCCTGACCACATTCTCCACAACCGGATTGATGCACTTCCTCCTCCTCCAGAAGCCTTCCTGAGCTTCTGGATCAAGTAGGGAAACCCTCCCCGCCCCCCCCCCCCCCTCAACACACACTATCTTTACCCTCCTCCACAGCATCTCTCGCACAAGCATTGAAGAGCTGGACCTGCAATTTCTCCTGGCCTTGATTTTGCCTTTTCACTCTGGAATCCCCATCCTATTGTCTGACCCATGAGTGGTGCTCTGCCCACTTTGGTCTCATGTGGAGGCATCTTCAAAGATGTGGTCCTTCAGGGTAGAAAAAGCCCAGAGCCAGGAATGCCGGGATCTTGTTCAAGTTTGATATGGCCACTTAAGTAGCTGCAATTTTGGGTGAATGCAGGTAAACCTTCCAGGTCTTAACTTCTCCATCTCTAAATTAAAAGATCGAGTCTGGCCTTGGCTTAATCAGAAGGTAATTGAAAGGACTGATGGAGGTAATTCACATGCCAGAGAACTAGAAAAGCCAGAGACTAAAGCTAAAAACATGTGACTACATAACAGCTTTGGAATCCCGAGCTGAAGCTGAACCATACCTGACACAGTTGGCTGGAAGGGCCAACGGGATGGAGTACTGACCTCTGCTGCTTGGGCCAAGGCCACCGCCCTAAACTGTGTTCCTTGGAGCCAGGTGCTCCTCAGGGAGGATGCTGGGGGGTCCTGGTGCAAGGTGGGTGAGATGGAGTGGGAGGGGGTGAGTGAGGAGGCAATCTTTCTCACACAGATCTTGGTGGCTGGCTAGAAGGCAAGGATCCAGGCCCCTGCTCCATGCCTTGCACCATGCTGGACGCTCAACCATGTCATCTCACTGAATCTATGCAAGTGTGATGAGGAAGGGCCTGGCTGCTCTCATGGTGACTAAGCTAAGTGACTTGCCTAAGGTCACACAGCTGTGAAGGAGAGAAGCAAGGGTTAACTCCCCGTGTCTGATTCTGTAACACTCGCTCTTGAGTGCTCAGAGTGCTGCCATGGGTCTTTATCATGGAGATGTTTCTGAGCCCCTCTCTGCTTTGCTCTTTCAGACAGACAACCAATAATTATATGCACATGCAACTGCTGAGTTCAGGGGTTGGGGAATCACTGGAAGTACAGGTCCTACTGCCTGCCTTCGGGGTCTGTCCAGCAAAATATGATGGTCCACACTTTTTTCTCCCCTCCAGAGAGCAGCTCTGCCAACCTGGCCAGCGATGTAATTTCAGGTGAGCAGAGCCCGACGCTTCCGCCCCGCCCCCCTCCCCCCCCCCCCCCCGTGGCTGCTGGAACATGGTATCTTGGGGGCACTGAGCTCCATCTATCTACTGCATAGAGCCAGTGGACCTGGTTCTGAGATTGTTCCCAGGCTCTAGGGGAGCACTGGAAGGGACAGATAAGAGCACTGGATACATCATAGGCATCCCTATGGTAGAGGGCCTCTGCAGACTTCCAGAGACTCTGACCCGGCTTCTCTTTGTTAAACCCACTAAAGACCACCTGTCTCCCGGCTAGAATATCAATTCACTGACGTAGATGAAGAGATTGGTCAGAAGTTTATGCCTTGCAGTGTAGTGCCAGGTTACTGCAAATACCGACCTCTCCATCCCTTCTGGGACTGGAGAATCAGAATACTAGGGAGCTTTGGGGTCTCCTCCTTGGGCTCTCCCCAAGCCTGGCCCCTGCAGCTCTGAGGCAGAGCACAAGGCAAGCGAACTGATAGGTAAGGACATGCCCCCCTAGAGAGAGGAAGGACTTGCCGAGGTGGTGCAGCAACCAATCAACCCAGCAACTGCTGGGGCTCCCCTTAGTGTGAGAGGAGAGAAGTGGTGAGGGTGGCAGCCTTCAGTGAGTCACTCACTGAGGCTGCATCCCTGTAAGCTTCATGCACTGAGATCTGTCCAGAATAGGGAGGGGGCAGGCAGGCAGGTGAAGACCAGTGCCCCCATCCTCATCGGTCGTCACCAACCTGCCGCCGTCATCTCCCAGAGCAGATGGGGCAGCCACAGGTACCCTTCATGACAATCCCATCTTCCCAACCCTACATAGGTGCTGGGAAGAGCCCACTGGGCAGAGTGTGGTCAGAAGTGATGCTGATCCGAGGGGAGGGGTGAGGAGCTGAGGGGTGGTCTTCACTGTGTGTTTTATGGAGCCAGAATGCAGCCTGCGCAGCCTCTTCTGGGGCTTCTGGTGACACTGAGGGGAAGTCCCTCACCTTCTTCCCAGCCTCCCCTTCTCCATCTCTCTCATGCTTCTAGCCTACACGTAGCCAAGCTCTTCACTCCAGGCTCCTTCCACAGGCCCTTTTTTGGGCCTCGACTCCCCACACCCTCAGACTTCCAATTTGAGATCAGCCTTTGCCTACATTGAACCGCCCAGAAGCTTCACGTGCTCCCTGCACTGCCCCCAAACATTGTTGAGCTGTATTTTATTCTTGTTTTTCATTTAGGTACTGTGATTTCCAAATCTGCTGATAAGAGCGTCTCATGGAGACAGTGTTCTAACTCCATTCTGACCACCAGCATCCACATCCCCCCACAACCCCCAACCTGTCACCTGAGCAGACACGTTTTGAAGTTGATTGTTGTTTGGGTCCCCTGCTTCCAGCAGAGCTGGATCTAGTTTAGACACATATAGCTACTTCACCTCTACGCGCCCCCCCCCCCCCAGGTGACTCCCTGACCCCTGACCTCATCCCTCTGTCATCTCTAAACCACCTCTTCTTCTCTCCCTCCATTTTTCTTTCTGTAATCTAGGGTCAAGGGTTTGGCCCCTTTTAAGGTCAGGGGGTTAGATTTGAGAACCCAAAGCTAAACCCTCGGATCTGTGGACAACTAACTTACAACATGATGCTAGGAGCTTCTTCAATAAATGGTGCTGGGAAAACGGGAGAGCCAGCCTCCATTTAAATGAGGGCTTCTTGGTTACATCCCTCCAGCCTGATTTCCTTTGTAACACTCATCCCAGTATGTGACTGGGTGTTCGTTCACTCAGTTATTTGTGGGTGACTGCCCCTGCACCACAGGGGGGCAGGAGGGTCTTGTGTTGTTGAATGATGAATGAATGGATGAATGGATGGATGGATGGATGGATGGGCTCCAAGGTGCTGCCGCCCATACTTCCTCTGCCCACCTCTGTCCTCTTACCTTGCCACCCCTGGGAGGCACCCTTCAGGGCTGGCTGTGCCTGGCTGGGTGGGGGCTCATGCTGACATCATGTCCACCTCCCCTTCCCACCCTTTCTCTGCACTGGCTTTCTCCTCCCTTCACTTCATTGCACCTACGCAGTTGTTCTTCTCTGTGAAGGCATTAGGGGAGAGAGCCTTTGCAGGAGCAGAGACAAGTTTACCTTCACGCAGGCAGGAGACGCGACGCTAAGGTGCACAGTGAGGCATGGGGTGTGCATCTCCCCAGATCTCCTTAGCCTCCCTGTCTGCACACTGTGAGCTCCCATCCTGCCCCGCTTCTCTAAGAGGATTATTTTCCTCTCTGTTCAACATCAAAGGCCTGAGAGCTCTCTACACACGGTGCAATTTTACTCCCAACTTGGGACAAGACGCAGCTCTCCTTCCCCGTTTCGGGGCATAATGACAGGTAAGTGTAACACACGCTTCCCATTTGTGCCTTATCACCCCCAGCCAGAAAATATGATTTATTTGAGGCCAGATTGTCAGGCTGAGCCTGCGGCAGCTTCTAACTTGCATTTCTTGGTTCTCCTGGCCAGGGCTCTCAGTCCCATCACTGATGTGGGGCTAGGAGGGTTCTCAGTTGGGTTCATTTGCAAGAATGAAAGGTACCTGTGCGAAGCCTACAGGGGTGAGTGAAGGGAGAGATTCTGAGATTAAAATAGGCCCCATGACTGTGGACAACTTGCAAGGTGCATTTGGTATGGCTGATGACCATGGCTGATG